TTCGAGACCCGCCTGGGCAACTTGGCGAGACCTCACCTCTACAATAAATCAAAAAATTAGGCGGGTGTGGTAGCGCGCACCTGTAGTTCCAGCTACTTGGAAGGAAGGCTGAGGCAGAAGGATCGCCGAAGCCCAGCAGGTTGAAGCTGCGGTGGCCGGGAGCAGCCACTGGACTCCAGTCTGGGTGACAGAGTGAGACGCCAACTCAAAAAAAAAAAGTCATCTGCGAGGAGGCTTCCCTAAGCATCCTGTCCAGTGTGCTCTAGCCTATCACCTGTTCATTACCTTACCACGCTCTGCACAATTTTGTTGCCGTGTGAATGCAAGCACCATTGAATGCAAGTTCCAAGAAGCCAAAGGTCTTGTCAGCTTGATGGGAGTCCCAGCACCTGACGTAGACATGTGAATATCTGCCAATAGTGAGTGAAGAGACAGATTATAAAGTCTATGTAGGAAAGGCAAGCAGTGAAGCCAGGAGGGATGGAGATTGGGAGAAGACGGAGTCTTGATGAGCCCAAAGAATTGGGGATGTGGGGATGCTAAGGGCTAGATGGAGGAGAGCATATGTCCAAGTATTTCAGTACTGATATGCCGGGGTGGCAGGTTCATAGGCAAAACTCTTCCTTTAAAAACCAACGCATCAGCTGGGCTCGGTGCCTCAGCCTGTAATTCGCGCCTTTGGGAGGCTGAGGTGAGTGGACTGCCTGAGCCCGCGGGTTCGAGACCCGCCTGGGCAACTTGGCGAGACCTCATCTCTACAATAAATTTAAAAATTTCAAAAAATTATCTAGGCATGGGGCCACACACCTGTAGTTCCAGCTACTTTGAAAGCTGAGGCGGAAGGATCGCCGGAGTCCAGCAGGTCGAGGCTGCGGTGGCCGTGCGTGGCCACTGCACTCCAGTCTGGGCGAAAGAGTGAGACTCCAACTCAAAAAACACACAAACACACACACACACAAACCCAACGCATCAGCTGGGTGGGGTGGCTCACGCCTGTACTCCCAGCATTTTGGGAGGCAGAGACAAGAGCATTGCCTGAGTCCAGGGGTTCGAGACCAGCCCGGGCAACTTCGTGAGAGCTCGTCTCTACGATAAATCAAAAAATTAACAGGGCATGGTGGCACGCGCCTGTAGTTCCAGCTACTTTGAAGGCTGAGGTGGATGGTTCGCCTGAGCCCAGCAGGTCAAGGCTGCGGTGGCCGTAAGTGTGCCACTGCACTCCTACCTGGGCGCCGGAATGAGACTTCAACCAAAAATAAATAAATAAAGTCAAAGTCAAGGCAGGAAAATGTTTCTTTTTATGGTAATGGATTTAGTCCACGCAACCTCCCAGGGACGACCACATTATCTCCGTGATAGCTCCCAAAGCTTTCTTTGTGGCAGACCCTGTTCTGGGCGCCTTACGTGTAATTCTCAAAATGACCCTGTGAGAAAGGTACTACTGCTGCCATTGGACGAAGAGGGGCCACCCAGGCACAGCGCGGTCAATTCTCATGTAGTGGCGAGCCAGGATTGACTCCCTAATCTAATTTGCAAAGGCGCTAGCTTTCCTTCCAACAGCTTGAAACGTCAGTTAAAACGAGGCTGCCCGCAGGAAGGAGCAGCTAATTGTCCCGAGTCGGCGACAGGTGATCCGCGTTGGTAAATATCCCCTGGCTTCTCGAAGCTCTGGCTTTCACAGCGTTGTCTGAGCAGACGGCCACTGACACAACCCCCAAACCGGCAGCGCGGCCCCAAGCAGGCTCCACCCCGAGACTCACGTGACCGCACCGCCCGCCGGCGGCCGTCCTGATCTCGCGGGACCTGAACTTTTCCAGGCGCCAAACCCTCTCTTCGTTCCCTCTCTTCCACCTCATTGTCCTCACTGCCGCCTCCACTTACCTCCCGGCGGCGACCAGCTTCTGGAGAAAAGTGTCCACCATGGTGTCGAGGAGCTTCACCCTCGAAATAGCAGTGCCGGGTGGCACAGGGGCTGGAGACAACCCCTTGTGCCCTTTTTCATCACTGCCGCCGCCTACACCGAAGCTGCTCCCTTCGGCCATGTTGAAGTAGAACCGCCAAATCTAACTGGCTCGGCCGCCCCGCCCCCCGAGGCCCCGGATTGGCCGCTCCCGTATCGGGCGCCTCCGATTGGAACCGGCGGAACGTCCATCACCGAGCCAGATGCGGGAGGGCAGTTGCCGGCGGTGGGGCAAGTAAGGCGAAGACGTGTCGCGGCTACGCGGGCAAATACGCAAAACCGAGGCTCGGGGCTCGATAAAAACTTTTAATTACACGTCAGAGACTTCGTACAGCGCCACAGTGACTACTCACTGTTAATATTCACAAGAGTCCATTTTAATACCCCTTTTCCTCATTTCGCCAGTCGGTTCTCCTGGCTCGACCTGTAAGCTCCTTCCAGTGGTTACCGACCCACACACCAAAAGTCCCAGCTGCTTTGGCCTCCAGTTTGGGAAAATGGAAGTCCATCCCCTCCAAGGTATGTTTTAATCAAACCTAATCCCAGTCCCTAAGGTTTGAGATGGGAAAGTGCGGGCCAGGGTCCCTTTGATTATACACATCCTTTAAAACTGTGTATCTGAGAGGGCGAGGTGTGAAGGGCTGTGAAATACTGTACAATATAGTAAAACAGGAGGAAAGGCACGGGAGGCAGGGTCCCATCTCCCGTCGGTGATGCTCTCTCCCTCTGCCATAGTGAGGAAGGATTGAAGATGTGTTTCCAGGGAGAGGAAAGGGGGAGCTGAGAAAAGCAACCTCCCAAGGCCTCTCTAGGGTGAACCTGAAGAGACAGGACATGCCCTTCCATCTTATCGGTGGTTCTTAGGGTAGAGAGGTGGGCAGGCAGAGGAAGATTTAGAACGATCTTTGGGCCAAACCCTTTATGGATAGAACCTAGGACACTCTTAGAAAGTGTAGAAAGGACAAACAAAACTCAGACTGAAGATGAGTGAGAGGAGGAAGAAACCCTCACAGGACTGAGATGGACAGTGGTGGCAGTGAAGGTAGAGAAAGACGGTTTTCAGATTGTATTCTGGCAGGGGTGAAAGAAAGTGTGGCAGCCATAAGAAATTGCAAGGCTTCAGGTAGCTAGCACCTTTCACATTGGCACCACAGCCTCTCCCAGGGGTGGGACCAATAAGAAGGTTTTGAGGCTCATCCAGGCCACATGTCCCAGAAGTGCAGGATCTGACGTGCCGCCTTCTTCGATCGCTGCAGTTCTCTGCTTGCAGCATAGGCTGGGGGGTGGGAGTAGGGAGGACGAGGCAGGGAAGAAGGAGCGTTCATCTCCTAGTTCCTGAGGAGGGCATCAACAAATAGTCTTGGCAGTATCAGGCTGGTGGATCCAGTGGTCCTGGTATTGGGTGACCTCCTGAACTGCTCTTTATTTTCTTCCCAGCGTCCCTCCACAAGGTGCCATGACTGGGATGACTTCACATCAAGGGAGAAGAAAAACACAAATAGTTCCACATCTTAGATGCTCCTATTGTGAGACAATACCTGTTGTTGTGAGTCTGAGTGATTGGGGTATACACGTGTGTCATGGTTGCCCAGGGCTGAGAACATCCCCTGTCTTGTCCTAGGCTTGGCTCAGTTAACCTGGGGAGATGAGCTGGGGAACACGCATCATGTCACCTTCCATATCAACTACTCTCTCAACCTGACTTTTCGGGGTGGTGCTCCAAGTCCAATGCCCCCCCAAACGGCCTGATCTACTTAGAACTGTGCCCACCACAGCCCTCTGGGCCAGGGGAAGCCAACAGCTTATATTGTCCTACGATTACTGGGACTGAAGGGATAGGGAACTGGGGTTGAGGAGAAAGCTACATTTTTGCACCTGTCTGAGGAAAGGGTGGCTCTAACAGCAGGATTGGTGCTTCAGCAGGACTAATAACCTAGCTCACAGATGTTAAAAAAAAATACACACAAAATAAAGTATCAACATTTCTCCCCAACCTAGTAATTCCTCCAAAGAGGGGGACAAGTGCTCTGGAGAACCAGGGGCTTCTGCTGCTCCTGCTCCCTGTGCAGAAGTACCTGGCACCCTAGCCCCAAGTGGCAGGGAAAAGCAGAGTAGTCTGGTGGGCAGCTGAGTCCCAAAATAAAAGTAAGCAAGCCTAAGAGATGAAGAGGGAAAGGGCTAATGGCAGCCGCTTGGAGTCTGGACTGAAAACCCAAGAGGAAGAATCAGCAGTAGAAAGCAAGCCCTATGTACAGCTCTTCTCAGGGACACAGATGGAGAAGGGAAGCCAGAAGAAGGTGTAACAGACTGGAAGTGGGGTCCTTAGGCCAGTATGGAGTACAGGGATTGGGTGACGGAGTACAGGGACTGGGTGACGGAGCCCAGCTCAGCAAGAAAATTTAAAAAGTGAGGGCAAGGGACTAGGCATGGGGTCTCTTTAGCAAGAGCAGTTTAGAGTCTCTGTCCCTCTCCAGACAGGCCGCATGGCTCAGGGTGGGGCTGGGTACGCAGTGGGCACATTTGGACAGGGTGCTATCCTCCCCACTCTGTCCCCAACCCAAAGTAGTGTGGGAAACAGCAGGCTTCTCTCCCTGCCACTGGTTACCAGTGTCTTGAGTCCACCAGCTCAGGTCGGAGGCTGAGTTTCTTGAGACTCTCATAGCCCACCACAATGACAATGGTGGATGGTGTGGCTGAGATGATTCTGGCCGAGAGGCCCTTCATGAGGCCCCATGGCCCTTCTTCTGCCATCAGCTGTCTGAAGGTCAGGATGATGGAGTTCTTGCCCTCGACCTGGAAGAGTCAACACAGAGGAGGACCATTGTTTGTAGTCAAAGCCTCTGCTCAAATCTCCCCCTGCCTAGGCTTAATTGGGGAGAAGTAGACTTGGAAATCAGAAAGGATGGACTCTACTTCTGAGGGACAGTGTAGCACAGTGATTTACTATGAGCTCTGGTGCCAGAATGTCTGGATTTGAATTCTGCTCAACTTACTAACAGTATAACCTTGGGTAATTTACTTTAACTTTCCTTAAATTTGAAACAGTGATACCTGCGCCAAAAGGTTGTTATGAGCAAGAACAAATATTCAAATTTTAACAGTGGTGGTAGCTAACATAAATGTTAGCTATTATCATTTATAATATCATCAGATAAGCTACATAGCTGAATCTTTGTATTAAATCTCTTCTAAGGTCCTCTACAGCTCTGCTAGTCCCTGATTTTGATTGTGATCATCTCAATCCCTCTGAAGGCCCAGGGCTAGAACCTCCCCTCCATCTGTGTCATCTCTCATTCTCCTGTAAATGAATAGAGGCATCTTTCCTATCATACTGGAAGCCTCGCCAAGGCAGGAATCTCTTCTCTCTTCCTCCTCTTCTCCACATAGCCTTTCCAAATTATACCTTGAGACCACCCCCATTCAGCCCCTCAGCCAATGCAGGAAACACATGTTCCTTGTTTTGGGGTTTTTTTTGTTTTTGTTGGGGCCTCACTCTGTTCCCCAGGCTGGAGTACAGTGGCACGATCATAAAGATCACGGCTCATGACGGTATCAACCTCCTGGGCTCAGGCAATCCTTCCACCTCAGCATCCTTAATAGCTGGGACTACAGGCACTCACTACCACACCCAGCTAGTTTTGTATTTTATTTTTTTGTAGGGGAGAGATCTCACTATATTTCCCAAGCTAATCTCAAACTCCTGGGCTCAAGCAGTCCACCCCCTCAGCCTCCCAAAATGCAGGGATTACAGGCATGAGTCATCGTGCCCAGCAACATATTCCTTGTTTTTACCTCCCCTTGTGTGGTAAGACCCTGACAAGGTATCCAGCCATAACTAAGAACTTCTCTCTGGTCTGCCCCATCTCCTTCAGCACCCTACCCCACAGCCATGCCAAGGACTTCCACAGCCATGTCAAGGACTTTCTCAGCTATGTCTCTGGCCCTTAGCCTGGAAGGTCCTCGAAGTAGAGACCTATCCTTTCCCTTGGATCTCCTCCTAGAATACCCAGGGCAAGGTTCAGGAAAGAATGTGGACTGAACCTGGGCACTGGGCACTGAACCTGAACCTTATCTGCAAACCAACCAGATGACAAAGTATTCATTTTCAAGTATGGGAGGCATCCTTTCCTAGGGATTAAAATAGCTATATTGATTACCCATCTCCCCCCACTAACATCCTGGTACCAGGGAAGCTGATTTATCCCCAGCCTGTTAAGGTTATTTTCCTTTCCTCTTCTCCTCACCATCACCACTCTCCTTTGATTCTCAAGTAACTTCTCAAGTTGCCCAAGTCAGACATTAAAATCCTCCATGCTCTCCATCTAAAACCTTCTCCATCAGAACCTACCATTTGCATATTATATATCATCCTTACTGATTTTATTTCCTTGGTCTAGCTGCTGTGTAACTGTCTTTAAGCTGATTAAAGATAGGAACTATAATTTCTGGATGGCACCACTGAGGGCTTTGTCACCATTTTTGCTGAGTCCACACAGTACAATCTGTGAAACCTATTTAAGAACAGCCACTCTCATAATCTGTTGAGAGCTCATGGCCTAGTGTAGAAATCAGATAGACTTATTAAATTAACTGAAATCAGTATTGCGAATAACCACAAACCTACAAAGGAAAGGAAAGGGCAGTTGACAGACTGCTAATAGGCTGTGGAATAGGACTCCAGTAAAGGCTGGAAGACACCAGTAGGATTTCCTGGAGGCATGGGCATTGGATGGAGTAAAGGCTGCAATGGAGTAAAGCCGCAGGGTAGCAGACAGTGAGAGAAACATTCCAGATGCTTCCACGTGCTCTCTGGTTTCTGTCATTGTTAAGTACATCGAGGGGTTTGGATCATCACAAAAAGGCTAACTCAACTAGAAGGCATGACACAGAGGTCAGGGGAATGCCAGGGGCCTGAAGATCATGCTTCTACTAGCTGATCCGAGGAGGGTGGAGAAGGAAGCCAGTCTTACCTGCACACGGGTTCGGATGACATCCATGGGATTGGTGAGGACGGAGGCAGTGGCTGCAGCCAGGGGCCCCGAGATGGCTTGAAAGACAATGTGAGGGCACTCCTTAGGACACAGGTAGGAGAGCTGCTCTGGAATCCAGGGAAAGACAATGCCTCAAGACATGCAGTACCACCCGTCTGCCCTCACTGTGCTTGCTGCCTCCACCAGTTCGCCTTCCTGACGTGACAGACCCTCCGTCTTCACCACCTTGGACCTGTATCTCCTATCCTTTCTTTTCTCTGCTTCCATCTGTACCTGACAAAAAATTATAGTATAAATTTCAGGCCCCTAGCTGGGTGTGAAAGCCCACACCTGTAATCCCAGCACTTTGGGAGGCCAAGGCAAGCCCAGGCATTCGAGACCAGTCTGGGCTACTAGGTGAGACCTCGTCTCTACAATAAATTTTTAAAAATTAGCTGTTCATGCTGGCACACACTTGTAGTTCCAGCTACTTAGAAGGCTGAGGCAGAAGGATCATCTGAACCAGCAGGTCGAGGCTGCAGTGGCTGTGAGCATGCCACTGCACTCCAGCCTGGGCAACAGAGACTCTGACTCAAAAAAAAAAAAAAAATTAGCCAGGTGTGGTGGCATGTGCCTGTGGCTCCAGCTACTTGGAAGGCTGATTCGGAAGGACCGCCTGAGCCAAGCAGGTTGAGGCTGCAGTGACCACGAGTATGTCACTGCACTCCAACCTGGGAGACAGAGTGAGACTTCTAATCAAAATAAAATAAAAAAATAAATCTCAGGCCCCTTCCAGAAGTCATCTTGGTGACATCACCCACTTAAACAAGAGTTCTCTGGAAAAGGGGATTTCAAAACTGCTTTGCTTGCTGACTCCCTTCATCTGATGGACAGAAAATCCTTGATATAAAAATCTTATGCTTCTTTGTTCTTCCCAACTCACAGACTAAATATTTGCTTATATATACATTAAGTAATTGAAAAACTGGTGACGCTGTCTCTGCAGAAGGGGCCTGGGTCTGTCTGTGGTGAATGAGGAGCATCTTACACATAATGCATGCCCTTTCCTATCGAATTTTGAACCATGTGAATATTTTTAAAAATAGCAATATTGACCAGGCTCAGTGGCTCAGCCTGTAATCCCAGCACTTTGGGAGGCCAAGCAAGTAGATTGCCTGAGCCCGCGGGTTGAAGACCAGCCCAGGCAACTTGGTGAGACCTTGTCTCTACAATAAATAAAAAATTAAGCCATGCCTATAATCCCAGCACTTAGAGAGGCTAAGGTGAGAGGATTGCCTGAGCCCATGGGCTTGAGACCAGCCTGGGCAACTTGATGTGACCTCATCTCTACAATAAATCAGAAAATTGGCCAGGCACGGTAGCACATGCCTGTAGTTCCAGCTACTTGGAAGGCTGAGGCTGAAGGATCACATGAGCCCAGTAGGTCAAGGTTGCCGTGGCCATCAGCGTGCTACTGCACTCCAGCCTGGGCGACAGAGTGAGACTCCATCTCAAAAAAAAAAAAAAAAAAATTAGCCGGGCGTGATAGTGCACGCCTGTAGTCCCAGCTACTTGGAAGGCTGAGGCAGAAGGATCCCCAGAGCCCAGCAGGTCAATGCCAGGGTGGCTGTGAGCATGCCACTGCATTCTAGCTTGGGCGACCGAGTGAGACTCTAACTCAGAAAATATATATATAAATAGGAAGCCATCCTATGAGAACTCCTATCCAGCCTGTAGCAAGAAAAACTCATTTTTCCAAATGCTGATGAAGGTGAAAGGATATCCAAATTCACCCATTCCCTGTGCTACTGGGAAGTCCACCTACACCTGAATTTTTTGTTTGACTGTCTCTGGAGGTAAAAGGCAAGAGTTTGGGGTAACCCCTTCGGGTACCCTCCCACTATGGGAGCTTTTTTGTCCTCAATAAATCCTGTTTCCTAACTTAAAAAAAAAAAAAAGAAAGACAAGAGTTCATTCATTTATTCAACAAAGATTTATTGGGTGACTACCATGAGCTGGTCACCCTGGGTCCTGAGGATTTAACAGTGAATAAAAGAGCCTCACATTTCTGCCCTCAGGAAATTTATATTCTAGTGGGAGAAGACACACAATAGATAAATAAAAAGCAAAATATATAGCTATATCAGAAGGTGTGCGCAACAGACAGAAATAAAGCAGGAAAGGGAGATAGGGAATGCCAAAGGTAGCGGGTGAAAGAGTTGTCATTAACAAACAAATTTTGTGTGTGTGTAGAGATGTAGTCTCACTGTGTGATCTTAAACTCCTGGCCTCAATGATCCTCCTGCCTTGGCATCCCAAAATGCTGAGTTTACAGGCATGAACCATTGTGCCAGCTTGGTTGCCATTTTAAACAAGGTAGTCATGGAAGCCCACTCCAAGAAGTTGTATTTGGGCAAAGACTTGAAGACAGTGCAAGCCACATGGATCTGTGGGAAGAAGCTTCCAAGCAAGGAACAGCATCCTATGCAAAGGCCCCGAGGCAGGAGCATACAGCAAGCGTTTGGGGGTAGCAAGTCCAGTAGTATGGAGCAGGATGAAAAGGTAAAGAACAGTAGATGAGATCCAGAGGTAAGTCATTTAAGATTTTATCTTTTATAGTTTAGTTGTCATAACTTTAAGAACTTTTTCTCCTGCTCCTAGTGTTGGTAGTTTGTGGCCAGGGAATGGTAGGAAGGTGGAGGTTGGCAGAGCAGAAGTGAGGGTTTCTAAGTCCCAGCTGGCATGGCAGAATTCCTTAAGCCCTCCCAGAACCACCTCTTCCCTAGTTTCTAACCACTTTCTTCCCCAGAATCAGCATACAGAGGTGAACTGGTGACTCCACCTCTTGGGTATCCTGTTTCTTCTTCTGAGAAGAGGGCATTTTGCAATCATTAGCATGTAGCATCTGGACTGGCACTGCCTGCCTCCTTGGGCCTGTCTATACTGGCCCCCAGGCCTGCAAGCTGCAGCGGGATCCAGATTCCAAATTCCAATCAAGCACATATGCCATTTTCCTGGGGCTTAGGGAGATGATGAAAGCACAAAGGCAAGAGGTAAAAGAAAGAGTCCCATGTCTTTCTTTCTCTATTATTCATTCAACAAACACTTGTAAGAACTTCCTGTCTACAAGGCAGAAGATAAACCCAGGCCAACTTGGTTTAAGTTTCTCTTGGCCAAATGGCTTTGGATAAGTAATATAAATGCCAAATTCGAGGGTGGGGAAAAAACATAAATAAATAAATGCCAAGTGCAGTGCTTTGAGAGGCCAAGGTAGGAAGATCACTTGATGCCAGGAGTTTGAGACCACCCTGGGCAACAAAATGAGACCCTGTCTCTACAAAAAATTAAAAGAAGAAAAAATTAGCCAGGTGTAGTGGCACATGCCTGTAGTCCCAGCTACTCAGGAAGTTGAGGTGGGAGGATTGTTTGAATCCAGGAAGTCAAGGCTGTAGTGAGCCATGATCATGCCACTGCACTCCAGCCTAGGTGACAGAGTGAGCCCCTGTCTAAAAATATAATAATATAAATGAATACTTATTTGATGCTTACTAGATGCCAGGCACTGTGATAAGCATTGGACATAAAACAGAAGTGGACAGGGAAATCCTTTCATGAATCTTTTTTTCTAATTAAGGAGATGGGAGTTGGGAGTAAAACAATTACAAATTATGATAAGTGCTAAGAAAGAAACAAGGTGCTGAAATATAATAAGAAGAGCCTTCTTTCCAATAGTGTAGTTTAAGAAGTCCTCCTTGCAAAGGTGACATATAAGCTGAGGCCAGAAACATAAGAAGGAAGAAGGAACCAGTCACACAAAGAACAAGGGACCCTTAACTGTACCCCACAAAACCATAATAAAAAATATTGATTAAAAAAAAAAAAAAGAACAAGGGAAAGGTGTCCCAGGCAGAAAGAATATTACCTGCAAAGGCCTTAAGGCAAGAACAGACCTTGCCGTGTGCCAAGAACTGAGAGAAGAGCCATGAGGATGGACCAGAGTGAGGAAAGGGAAAGGGCCCATGGTGGGGCTGGAGAAACAAGCAGGGGCCAAAGCAACAGAGCTGTGTAGACCTTGGGAAGGAAACTGGATTATATTCTAGATGCCCATAAGGCAGCACTGCTAGATTTTAAGCAAAAGGGGGTGGTAAGGACCAGTGTACTAATTCAGTATTTACTGAGCACTTAAGATTCGCCAGGCCGGGCTTGGTGGCTCAGCCTGTGATCCCGCGCTTTGGGAGGCTGAGGTCAGTGGATCGCCTGAGCCCGCGGGTTCAAGACTCGCCTGGGCAACTTGGCAAGACCTCAACTCTACAATAAATCAAAAAAAAATCAGCCGGGCGTGGCAACGTGCACCTGTAATTCCAGCTACTCAGAAGGCTGAGGCGGAAGGATCACCGGAGCCCAGCAGGTCGAGGCTGCGGTGGCCAGGAGCAGCCACTGCACTCCAGTCTGGGCGACAGAGTGAGACTCAAACTCAAAAAAAAATAAAAAAAGATTCACCAGATCCTGAGCCAGGTGTCAGGATGTATGATAGTGAATAAAAGCAGACATGGTCCCTGTTCTTATAGAATATACATAACACAGAGTTGTGAGACAGGAATGGTAAGATATGCAAACTCTCACAGAGCCTGGCACATGTGGGCATTCAATAAATGTTAGTTTCCTCCCTCTGCCAAGAACTTTTCCATGTAGCAGAGACAAGGCACACACAAATAACATCAAGGAAAATGTCACAACTGCCTTAAGAAAGGTTCAAGGGCTGAAAAGAGGGAAAGATCACTTCTGGGTTAAGGGTCACAGGGAGAGGATAAAAGAGGAGGCAATAAGGAGAGCTTAAGGCAGGTCTTGATTTTGCTAGGGGTAAATGAACCTGGAAGGCACTTATCTAGGCAGAGGGATGGCATGAACAAAGTGCAGAGGTAGGAGAGATGATGCATGGTTGAGGAATTGTACACTGTCTGGCCAGGCCCCAACACAGACTGTCTATACTCGGAATAAGCAGATTTTATTGTAAAGGGAGGTTGAAACCAATCTGAAGAGTTTGGATTGTATTCAGTAAGAAGTGAAAGCTGCTGAACATCATAACTAGAGTCTAAAAAGTTAATCCATTAGAGATGTGTGCGACAGACGGGAAGAGAACTTGGAGAGACCAGCCAGAAGGCTGATACAGCAGTCTGGAAGGGTGGTGACAGAGACATGGTTTCCAGGGAAGGATGAATAAAAAGTTGGGAGATCATATTGGATTATAGCCATTATGTTTAAAAGAAAGAACATTTTTTTCTTTTTCCTTCTTTTTTTTTTTTTTGAGTTGGAGTCTCACAATGTTGCCCAGGCTGGAGGGCAGTGGCATGCTCCTGGCTACTGCAGCCTCAACCTGCTGAGCTCAGGTGATCCTTCCGCCTTAAACTTCCAAGTAGCTGGAACTACAGGCACTCATCGCCACGCACGGCTAATTTTTTTTTTTCAATTTATTGTAGAGATGAGGTCTCACCAAGTTGTCCAGGCTGGTCTTGAGCCCATGGGCTTAGGCAATCGTCTCACCTTGGCCTCCCAAAGTGCTGGGATTATAGGTGTGAGCCACTGCACCCGACCTCTTTTGCTTTTTTTTTTAAATTTTTTCTTTTTTTTTTTTTTTTTTAAGGAGGAGACTCACTCTGTCACCGAAACTGGTAGGGAGACGACCGATCCCTCCCACCGAATGCGTTACATGACTAGTGCGCTAGGTGACTTACTTATCTGAATTACCTAGATACCTAACTTAGCGAGCTGACATACCTAGTTGGCTTGTGAGATAGCTAGCTGACTTAATGAGTTGGTAAAGAGTTAGATAACTGTT